GGCTTCCCTGTTACCTAACCAGTAATCCAGAGCCATTACGAGCTGTACAATCGTGGTCAACTGAAGCTACTAAAAGAGGGCATAAGTTGGCAGCATCAGATACAACAGCAGGGACATTAAGTCCTTCCCCCCTCTGTTCCTCCTGTGCTAGGCTTCTGGAATACAGATAAAGCAGAAAGACTTCTGTCAAATTATAGGAGAGGGAAACAACACGTTCCCTATGTCTGTGCCCTCCAGAACTGAAGTCTTCTCTACCAAGAGATGCTGCCTGACCCGAGCGCAGAGCGAGACTTGTGCTGCACGATGCAGCACCCAGAGAGGTACTGCTGCTCTCCATCAAGCTGGAGTAACACAGAACCTTTATCCCACAGAAGTGCTCTTTGCTGCAGGGGGCAAAATGAGAGGTACAGCCTCGTATCTTCATTGAAAGGCAATGTGAGGCCACCCTGCAGCCACAGGTAGGTCCAGTGGAGTTGATTATTCGTGTCTTTTTTTTTTTTTTCCCCTGAAGGATCTGTATTTCCTCCTTCAGTCCAAAGCGGCCAGTTCCTCCAGGAGCTGCTCCTTCTCCTGCTGCAGCTCCTGCACCCGCTGCTTGTTCTGCTCCAGCCTGTCCTCCAGCCACTGAAGGAGGGGCCCACTGATGGCAGACATCTGGCTGCAGAGGTTCTTCGTGAATACTGGAAAGAGCGAGAGCACACCATGCCAGTGCGAGCACAAAGTCCATGCTACAACTGCCCCAAAGCCAAGGGAGCTACAGAGAGCCAACAGAGCTTCCCAGCATCCTGGCTAAGGCAACCACTGATCCCCACAGGAGAGGGTCAGAGCCAGCAGCTTCTGACTGGGTTATTTTACAGCCTTTTACATCTTCCTTTAAAATATTGCATTATTTTTTTTCGACCTGACTTTATGCAACAGAGAATCCATCTGGTTACACAGAGTGTGTGACTGAAAACGAACTGCATGGCAAAGAAGGAGAGAGAAGTTTGTGCTCTTCTATTTTTTGTTTTGTTTTTCTACAACTGCTCTTTATGCCAAAGGGAGCACTGGAGCTCACAAGGACTGTTATACAGCTGTGGTCTATTCACCCCTGAAAGCAATGCCAGAACAGCCGCTCCAGGCTCTGCTGTTCAGCTCACAGAGCAGCATCCTGCACTCACACGAAGGAGGAATCCTTACCTGAGCCATTGTGAATCTTGGTTACAGAGTCTAGATGGGTGAGGCTACGAGAAGAAAAACGTGGGTTAGTGACAACAGCAGTGAACAGCACATTAGGCAGTGCAGAACCAGCCTCCTCCAAGCTGCTGACACTGCAGGTGCCTTTAACCTCTTCACTTGTGAAGAGCCCCTGCACGTTCATCATGATAGCAGACTTTGCTCCAGGTAAGAGTAGAGGTAGAGCATCAAAAACCCCAATGCTGGTACTCTTCCTCATTTTTCTGACTTCTCAGTACTGGTGCCCTAATTGAACACAGACACAGCTGCACGCGTCACCATCAGCTCACACACACTTCAGCTCCTTTTCTGCACAGCAAAGGAGCAGATCATTGGGCACACAGAAAAATACGAGGTCAAGAGCACCTGCAATCCATCACATGAAAGTAATCGATCCATTTTTTTTACAAAGGCATACAGATTACAGATGAGATGCTTCTCATTTTCTCTATCTCTGCCAAGGCTGTGCTCTTGAGGTAGAACACATCAGCAAAGACAGGGAGGCCTCAGGGAGGCCTGCAGCCCCAGCGTTACCTGTGAATCCTCCTGTAGGCATCTTGTTCTTCTTGGCACAGGATCTTGGGCAGCTCTACAGCTGATTCCAGACACACTTTCCCAATAGTTTCATGGGGGACAACGTGAATAGGAATTTCAATCCTTTCGTATCTAAAAAGGTATCAGATACAGTTAACTGCAAAGCAGCAGAGAAAAAAAAAGGAAAGAAAGCCTTTACCAACCTACAAGAGTCAGTTAAACTCATGGGATCAAACAGGTTTACTTTTGAGAACGTGTGCTACAACTGCCAGGCAATGGGAATCCTTTTATAACTGTGCTCTTCTCCCAGATGCCAATGATAGAAATGCTCAAGTAACAAAAGCACCATAAAGCACCAGCACTGACAGCACAACACACGGCGCGTGCAAAGCTGGTGCAGACTGAATGCCATGCAAGCTCAGAGCTTTGAGTTCTAGAGTTGAAAGCAGAAGGGTGAGCCCTTACACAACAGATTACAGCACAAGTTCATCTGCAATCTGTAGTGCTCCACATCAGATTTTAAGCTGTTACTAAGTTCTAGACAAAGTCAGTCAACCTTCTTCAAGCAGCCTGCATTAACAGAGAACCAGATCAGGCATCTCTGTACAACATCTGCTGCTCTTGATGAACCCACAAACCACTTATTTGAGACAAATAAGAAAGAAGGGATTTAGATGAAACAGAAGAACATAAAATTCTTTCTTTGTACTCACTCTGAGCTCTTCTGGGCCTGAATGGACTGGAAACAGGTGTAGAGAATCCTACCTGTCTAAGAGAGACAGCACAAAGTCAGATTTCAAGTACCAAAAACCATCTGGAACTCCAAACTCCTTCAGGAAGAAGAATGTGCTTTCAAAGAGCACTCGAGCACTTTGCAAAGATGTACACTTTGGTGCAAACTCTGACTGGTATGCTAGAACTGTTTTCAAGCTCCAACAGATCCATTAACTATGAATAAAAAAATCCCAGACCAGAGCTGCTTGGGAAATCTGGACAAGACACCACTATCAGCTCATCCCACCCTGTAACAGCTTCATGAGGCTGCAAAAATGAGCTGGGCAGAACAGCTGAAGGGCATCCAAACTTTGCAATGCAGGCACGTCTCTTAAGTTACCTACCTTTGTGTTTTTGTCCTCAATGAAACAGGAGAAGATAAGCCCTACAAAACCCTGGTCCATCATCTGATACATAGCTTGTGTCCGGACATCTGTGGACGAAGAAACAAGATAGTGAGAATTGCACAGGTCACCTGAAGGTCTGCAAAGAGATTTTCCATCTTTTGGAGGCTGATACTGGAATTTGTAACAGTCACAAGCTTGATCTTAAAGTACACACTGCAGGACACAAAGTAAAAATCTTGCTCCTATTGAAAATATAATTAAAGAGCGTGTCTTAAATATACAAGATGAGTTAACAAAACATCAGCACATCCAGATAGTCCTCTCCTACCAGGGGGAATTTGGGAAACCAAACTGGGATCTGCAGCTCTTAAGAGTCCAGTAAATTAAGTCATTTCTTTGCCGAGCTGCAGGCTTTTGTACAGAACCAAGACTGCTCTTACCCACATGCGATGGCCAGACGGTGATGTGAGGGTGAGAATGGTACCAGCCCACAACTCTCATCGGACGTCCTGTCATCTCAGCCAACCTGTGTGTGAGTCAAGGTGCTTCCAAAACCAAAGGAGCAAATGCAAGAAACCCATCATACAAAGGCAACAGCAAGCACGGGGCAGAGCTTGAAAGTCCCACAGCTCAACAAAACCTCAGATCCCTGCAGAGAGGTGATGGGACACTTGGCAAGAAAAGGACATACACTTGAGGCAGGATACCACCAATTGGATTTTGCAGTTCCACCCCCACCCTGCCCATCAGAAGCACGGTTCTGCCTCACTTGTGACTAAAAAAGAGGAAACACAAACGCTGTATCACAACTCCGGCACAAATGCAGGGCCGAACAGCAGCTCTGGGGAATGACGAGCGCCAGCTGAGCCCTGCGGCACACAAAGCGCTCCGGGCTGAGGCACCGCAGCGCTGCCGCCAAAGGATATCTCTGCTTCGGTGGACGCGGCCGAGAGCTGCTCGGGAGAGATCTCCACTCGGTCCTTCCTCTTATCCGAGCGGCGCAGGATGATCACGGAGTGGATGTGGACGATTCTGCTGGTGTCGACCTGGTAGAGAGAAAACGGCTGTTCCTCCGCTATAGGAACGGCCGCCTCAGGAGGGGGGCGCTGGGCAGGGCCGTGGCGGGACGCCGCCCGCTGTAGGCGGCGCTGAGGGTGACGGCGAGGGCCGAGCGCGGTACCTCTCCGATGCAGAGCCCCATGACCTCCTCCTTCTCGGTACTCAGCGCGTGGTTCAGACACACCAGGAACGCGTCGGCCTCCAGGTGCACGGCCTGCACAGCCATCTTGCAGCCTCCCGTCTCCCCCGCCGCCGCCGGAAGTAGGCTGGGCCCACCCCCCCGGAGCGCTGTGCGGACGGACCAATCCTGGAGCGGCTCCCGGCCTCTTTCAGCCAATCGGCGCGGCTGACTTCCGCTGCTGGGGGCGGGCGCTGCTTTGCTACGGAAGTTCCGTGTGGACCACGCGAGCGGCGGTCCCGGGGTTCCGCGCGGCGTTCGCCGCCCGCACCGGGGCGGGGCCCGGGGCGTGGGGGGCGGGGCCCGGGGCGTGGGGGGCGGGGCGGGGCGGGGCTCGGCGGCGGCGGCCATTGGGGCCCGCGAGCAGGAGGGGGGCGGCGGCAGGGTCAGGGGGGGGGGGGCGGGGAAGGCTTCGCCGGGCGCGCACGGCGCGGGCTGTCAGCGGCGCGGGGCCGCAGGTAGGTGACGGGCGGGGGGGCGGTTGCCACGGAGACGCGCCGCGCCCCCCTCCCCGCACCATCGGCCTCCCCGCGCTTCTCCCCCCCGCCGCGCTCCCGGCCCCGTTTCGTCTCCTTCGGATCCCGCCGAGCCGCGTCCCGGCGGGGTGCGGGTTGGCCCCGGCAGCGGCCTCCGCGGTAGAAGCTCGGAACGCGGCGCCTTCGTCACGGGACGCGCTCTTCCCGCACGCCGCTCCGCGCTCGGGGCCGGCCCAGCTCCGCGCTGCGGCCTGCGGGGAGCGAGGGGGGAAAGGCGGGCACCCGGCGGGCTCCGGAGCTCCGAGCCGCACGGCCCGGCACCGCCCGGGTTGCTGCGTGGTGCCGAGAGGAGCGGCGGTGCCGTCGGAGCGTGACGCTGCATTCTGGGTGCTGCCCGGGGGCTGTTTGTAGGTGCGCGTTACGAACGGGGCGCTGGAAGGAGCGGTTTGTAGCGCTTGTTTGAGGGCTCAGCGAGCTGACTTTGTTTTTTTTCAGCCCCGCCTTCCTAAGGGCTCTTTTGTTGCTTGCTGATAAAATCGGTGACAAAGTAGGAATTGGAGACGTTTTTCCCTTCCTGGAGTTGCGCTGTGGCTCTCAGCCTGCGTCTGGCCGCGGCTCCCCTTTCCTCGCTGTGTTTGGATCGCTGATATCCCCGTCCTGCTCCAAACCAAAAGCAGTTTTGCCTGACCTGCAGCTTGTCTGGCAGCACAACCTTGAGCCTTCCACTCTGAGCCCACAGCTGTGGAGTTTGGGGGAGGTTTGGGTCTGATGAAAGGGGCGAAGGCTGAAAAGAACACTGCAAACTGCTGCCTGTTCTGCTCCGGGTCCTCAGGGTGAGACCTCACTCTGTGCACCCATCCCACCACCATGTGTGTGCACAGGGGGCACAGACGTACAGTTGTGCTGTAGTCCTCTTGCCTGCAGCCTAATCAGCAAGCCTGAAGCAGGCCTGTGTTGGGATAGGAGAGGTTACCTGCTGTAGGACATGGTGGTGTTTGCTGACTGATGTTACTCTTTCACTGCTGAATCAGTGCTGAGCTGACGGTGTCTCCTCTTTCTGTAGAAATTCCAGCTTCGAACAGGCTGTGAAAGCAAAGTTTTGGGGGCATGATGGAGCTTTTGGCATTTTACCACAGAGTAGGAGAGTGTCCTGGCCAAATTCCAACCTGGGTAATTACATTCTGCTGACTGAAAAATGAGCAGCGGCGATTGCTGCTTTTCACTGCCGGGCAGAGCACACATAGGCTTGAATTTGTGAAGCAAAGTAGGGTGAAGCAGAATGACTCGGGCTTACAGAAACATCACTGTAACTCTCATAGCTCGTTCCTGAAGGCCTTGTGAGGTTTGTTTGGCTGCTGTTGCATTCCTGCTGATGCCAGTGCTGGGGCACTGCTTGGAATGGCTGTAAGGCATTGCAGGATGGCAGCGGTGCTCTTTGCGTCACACCTCCACATTCCCACACATCAAGCAGGGGAACAAACAGAACAGGAGAAAAAAAGAGGTATTAAAAGAACGTTCCAGTCCTAAATTGCTGTGACAGTGCTGCTGGGGCTGACCTGTGGTTGGTGTTTTGTTTTCAGAAAGGCTGAGTGGCCCTTTGGTTCCAAAAGGTAGAGAACCACAAGTGTACGGTGTAGAAGGCAACGTGGAAGTGTGTTTCCTGTTCTGTCTGTATAACAATATTTTTCTCTCCCTGACCTTCCCTGCTTTATTTTGTACCCAGATGTTCTTGCCTCTGTCTGAAACATGCCTTGTAACTTCACACGCTTTTGGAAGATCACTGTGTTTCACTGGGATAGGAATATTGCATCTGCTTCATAGCAGGAAGATGTTACATGTATTGCAGCTTAATTCTGTTCTACTTTAAACCTAGATAAAGAATGAAGACTGTCCGTACCATTTTGATTACCTCTTCTAGGGTTCAAAGAGAGAATCATTTTCCCAGACCTCCGCTTGCTAATGGCTCAGCTTGATCTAAGCGGTGTACAGACAAACTGGCTGATAAACCAAAACCCTTTTGGGAAGAGCCACCTCCATGTCCCAAATTCAACTCCTGCTGATGTTGGCGGCTCTTGGTAAGCACCTTGAGTCTGAACCACACGACGTGACGAGAGCTGCTCGTGAGAAGATGGTGTGAGTGCGGACCACGCTGCCGTGCCCACAAGGGATGAGAGGAAGGACCTGCACAATGACAGCTCCACGAGTTCCCGGCGTGAGAGTCCAGCATCTGGAGTCTCATGCTTTGTCTCCAGATTGATCTCCGTTCTCTTTAAGCTGTCACAAGTTTTGCTTTCGGGATTTAGACCGCCGTTAACCGCAGAACTCCTGCCTCAATCACATCTTTATTTTTCTTCCCACTCCCCCCCATCGTTTTACACGAAGACTGTTAATAGGACCGTTAGCGGAATAAGCAAAGCCAATACTCACAGGGTTTAACCTACGGCACCTTTTGCCCCAGAATGCCTTACAAACGCCGCTCAGCACACGCCTCCCACAGCACAGCCCGCCCAGAGACCTCCTTCCACCCGGCCACCACCTTAATTGCCCAGAGCCACTTCTAGGGACGCTTCGGCGCGTCGCATCTCCCACCGTAGGCCGGCCGCCCCCCGAGGTGCCTTTCAGCTCCCAGAGCTCTCCCCACGGATGTCCTGGGAACGAAGGAGCTGATGCCACACGGCTGACGGAGCGCAGAGGAGTGACGGGGGATGGCTGAAGGAGGGCAGGCCGGCGCTCCCCCCGTGCGGCTGTGGGTGCGACGCGTAGGTGTGTACTGCGATGAGCACCGCAGGACGTGGCTCGTGGCTGCGGAAGAGGCAAGTGTCCTTTGGGCTTCGCCGGGATTGTAGCTTTGCTGTCGCAGGTGCCTCTCCTGCGTTGCCAGTAACTGCCTCCTCTCTTTGTTGCTTTCCACCAGGAGGAAGGTATGCTGAGGGCTCGGATCCAAAGAGTTCAGGTTCCCCTGGGTGAGGCGCTGCGACCCAGCCAGCTCCCCCCATCCCGGCTGCCTCACATGTGGCAGCTGTCCCAGGGTGAGCAGTACAGGGATAGTAACTCTCGCGTTTGGGAGATAGAGCACCATCTCATGGTAAGGATGGTGGCGACAATAGACCATAGTCATTCCTGTTTGTGAAGTCATTTGAGATCCTTGAGGGACGGCAGAGGACTGTTATTGTATTGAAGTCCAGTAGCTCTCAGCCACAGTAACTGCAGCCGTATTGAACTTTTCCTTGTCGCTTACAGCTCGGTGGTGTTGAAGAACTGCTGCTTAAACTCGTGCCTGGTGATTAATCTGGTATGTGGAGACATTACCCCCGCTTTGTGCTGTGCTCTGTTTATTCCTCGTCATTCTTTAATATGAATTTTTGTCTTTCAGGAGCAGTGGCTCTAGGAAGATGTCCTTGTATGTTTTGTACAATAAATGATTCTCTCTCCACTGAAATGCGGCCACCCCTGAGGTGGAAGCAGTTAAACAACACACAGCAACATCACATGAGTTTAGGACAGGCAGTGAAGAGGAGTATCGTGCCCAATTGAAACGTCAGGGGGAGTTCTAGGTAGGCAGAATGTAATTGCCCTACGTGGAGCTTGGCCAGGATGCTGGAAATAGGCAGTAGAAGTGCCATAGGGCAGAGGCTGAGCAGGAGGCTGACAGCAGCCCCAACTCCGGGCAGGGCTGAGCTGTGGCACTGCAGGGACTGAAGTCCTGTGCTGTGTACGACCACAGCAATGCTTTCATTCTGGGCTCTCCCACCCCTCTGCTGCTCCCCCCGCTTTTTGTTTGTCTGTTGGTTTCTCATGAGATCCCGGTGATGGGTGGGTGCTGCAGCTGCAGAAAGTCAAACTGATGGCCTGATGTCCGCTTTCTGGGAATCTGATAATGCCAGAGCTGTTTCTTTTGGGGGAATCCCAAGAGGATTTCTCTTGCAACAAAAAATCCCCCCTTGTTGTTTTTCTGGGACAAACATAACGATGCTGTTCTGCTGTTTTTTCCCCAAGTTCCTCCTCCAGATGCAGTTGCATGGCTGTGCCAAACTCCGGGATGCACAGAGCTCGCAGAGAGGGCTCATCTTTTAGCAACAGGTTTAAAGGCATAGAGCTGTTAAAAAAGAGCCGTGTTCATGTGAGTCGTTGTTGGAATCTTGGTGCTTCCAAGTGGAAAAGGACACACACTGCAACCAGGGGGAAAAGGGAAGGGCCTTCAGGCGTAGCTCCTACAACTTCCCTGCGCTCATGGCCAACGTTGACGGCCTCCAGCCAGGCCCAGGGGTGCATTGGGAGGCAGCTGACAGGTTGCTCCCCAGGAAAGGAGTGCTGTGAGCATTTTGTGTGTTCATTGGGAGTGCGGGGAATCCCCTCTGTTGGCAGCAGGTGCATCCTGACCACCTGCAGTAGGGAGGGAAGCCAGGAGCTCTTTGCTCAAAGGCACTGTTTTGCCCCCCTGCCTTCCCCAAACGTTATTTCTACAGTAACATTTTCCTGTCGTTTTAGTTCTCTGAACATGTCCCAGAAGGATCCCTGCCAGAAACAAGCCTGTGAAATACAGAAATGCTTGCAAGGTACCGAGCATCATTTTGTCTTTTTGGTGTCTTGAGTTTTGGTGGAACCGAGTTCTTTTCACATCTCCCTGTTCTCCTTTCACTTGAGGAGGAAGCAAGCAAGCGCACGAGCGTGACCTGAGCACAGAGCCAACCAAATGGCAGCGAGTGGTTTTAAAAGAATTCCTTTGTGCTTGATTGTAAGGAGCGAGGCACCCCGAGCACGAAACGCAGCGTTTCTCACAGCTTTTCCAAGCTGAGCATTCTCCGTGCCGGAGCGAGAGGCTGTGTGTAGTCTCAGGACTGAGCTGTAGGCGGGGAGAGCCAGACTTGTGAGCTGTGTTGGAGTGGGAGGTGAGGCTGTGGGTGGGTGGAGCGAGGACACACAGAGCTTGGAGCTGCGGGCACAGAGATGCTGCAGGAGCAGCCAGGTGTGTGCCTGGCCTGGGGGCAGCAGGTGGGCTGAGGGCCTCTCGGAGGCCTTGACAGCTGTTTCGTGTTAATTGAGCAAAATAGGCGGTGGGAAAATGGAGGTTAGGTGATAATGTGCTTCAGGTGCCTGAGCTGGGGAAGGCAGGTTGGTGACTCGCAGAGACAAATATGCTTCTAAACAATGCAGTTGCTAAAAATGGGATGAATAAGAGAAAGCATTTCTGTGTGTGCGTGCAGCTCAGGCACGTTGGGAAGGGTGTTTTCTGAGTCACCCAGCAGAGCTCTGTGTGTGTGAGGAGCTTTGCTGGAGGGTGACTGGCTGAGAGCCCAAGGCTGAGGGTAACAGCAGTGCTAGCAGCAGCTGGGCATGTTAGCCAGAATGGAGCAGAGGGATGGCTTTGCTGCCTGCAGCAAGTGTTGTGGTGCAGCTGGTGTGGTAACAGCCCCCGATGGCTGGGGAATGGCATGGGAGGAGAAACATGGGGGAGAAGCAGGGAGAGGCAGCGTTCAGTCAGTGGATATCTGTGTTCTCCAGGATTGTTTATTTGGAAGCTGTGTTCAGCTCAAAGGAAGGGCTCCAATAATCCTCGCCTTGTATCCCCAGCGCTTGTAAACAGGCTTTGCTTTTGGTGTTTGGCCCTCTGCGGGTCCTGTTATGACAAGTGCTGTTTTCATGGCTTTCACAGGGGTTATTCCAAGTGATGCACTCTCACAGGTCTGTGTACAGATGTGATCTGGATGGCTCAGTGTTACCAAAGGGGCTTTTCCTCTGCTGCACGCACACCTCGCTGCCCCACCACTTCTGTGGCCAACATGTTGGAGAGCTGTTGTTTGTGCTGTGATATTGCCTGAGTTGCACAGATGAAGCAGCTGAGTTGACAGCAGAGCAGTTTTTCCTGCAAGAATTAATGCAATAGAGGAAGTAAAGCAGAGCCTGAAGTGACCAGTGCACACAGATGGTGTGGAGAATGAGGGAGGAGGAGGGCAGGAGCAGGGAGGTGCAGCTTCTCAAAGCCATTTTGCAGAGGATGACTGTTTCAAAAGATGTTGCCTGCTTTCTCTGTGAGACTGAATGCCCACTGTAAACCATAAACTTGATCTGTGTTTTGCCATCCATCGTATGATTGCCTTTCTGGAGTGATCCCTGATGGGTAGCAGGGCATAGCTGTGGAAACAGAGCTGCACAGGGATGGTTAGGAGAACCCTTGGAGCATGTGTGGTAGGAACATGAGGGCAGGGAGGTGTCAGCTCTCCTTCCCAGGTTTGTGCCTTCTGGGCTGCCAGCTTCCTCCTGAACCCCCCCCCCGAGCAGCTGGGGCTTTGGGCAGCAGGTGGAGCTGAAGGTGTTCTTCCCAAGGCTCTGTTGGCCCTGCTTTCTGAGGGCTGGGCAGAAGCCCTGGTGGAGCTGAGCCCCTGCTGTCACTTATCAATCAAGATGGGATGGGCAGCATCTTTCCCAGGACAGGGCTGGCAGCTCATCCCATCTCATAGGGTCTGAGAGCATCCTCCTGGGAAGGAAAGGAGAGGCGAAGGCAGCACTGAGACGTGGCTGAAGGCCTCCCTGAGCCGGAGGTGGGAGCTCAGTGCAGGAGGGCTCCCATTGGTGCTTTGGCTGCTGGCAGCAGAATGGCTTCCTGTGAGCAGTGCCGTGCAGAGCCACATCCTGCCCACAGCAGGCTGATGGTGGGAGGGCTGCTGCCACACGGCCCACCTCTTCCTCCCAGCCCTCCGTGGAAGGCAGGTGCACTTGTCCCCATTTATATCAACTCCACTTTGCAAGCTCTTAGTTGTACTGCTGTACACCTTGCAGTGATGAGGCAGCTGGGCTGAGCCAGCTGAAAAGCACTCAGGTTAAACAAGTACGGAGCAAAGGGACAGCAGATAGAGAAACCTCATTGCTGCTGTAGTGATGCAATAGATGCAAAACCGGGGGACTGAACGTGCTCCTGGCCGTAGCTGCAGGGCTGACAGCTTCCTACCCAGCTGACAGCAAAGGGAGATTGTAGAGCAGGGGAAGTGGTGGAGCATCGGTAAGCAGGGCGTGCTTTTCAAAGCAGGGCACCACCCAGCATCCCAGGGTCAGACACATCCCCCTGGGGAACAAAAGCAGCTCTCCTGTGTAGACTTGGTGTCTCCTTCTTATTTTCCAGCGAACAACTACGTGGAGTCTAAGTGTGAAGCTGTGCTTCGAGAGATGAGGAGGTGCTGTGCCCGGTACCCCGAGGGCAGATCCATCTGTTGTTCAGGTTTTGAGAAAGAAGAGAGAGAAAAGCGTAGAGCTACTTCAGGAGGAATTCCCCCACCACCTCAGTAACACAAAGCAGCTCCAGCAGGTGCCAGAGCACGGACTCACCTACGGAGCCCAGGTGTGTGTTTGTGAGCCTTCTCTAGACTTTCTGGAAAGCCAGAGGGCTCCTAGAACACACCACCCCGCGCACCAAAAAGCAGTACCAAGAGATGGCCTGGTTGACAGACTTCATTTTCTGTACCAAATCATCATCTACGTTGTCCTCGCGTTGCATCCGTATCCGTGAAAAATCAGTCTGATGCGTTTAGAATGCTTACCTTACTCTAACCCATCCCTGCTCTCAAAATGGAGGGCTGGAACCAAGTTACTGTGGCTTCTGGAGGGGGAGGTACAGGAAATGTGCTCTTAAGAATGAGTGTAAGTGTGACACATGAAAACAAAGCCCATTTCGACACAGCAAAGGTGTTGCTGCCGTTGGGCAGCAGCTCCAGGCAACATTCACCTGTCCAGGGGTTCAAGCTCAAGAATGGGAATCGGGTCTGGGGTTTGGTCCCAGGTCTTGCATAGCTCACGGTGACCAGGCGTCACTCTGCCTAAGTGCCTCACTTTCCCCCTGGACAGAGTTTAGATGACTTCCTGTTTGAATTGCCTACACGCTGCTATTTGCATGACAATAAAGATGTTACAGGAACATTATTTCAGGGATTGCTACAGGAATAGGATCTTTTTTTTTTTTTTTTTTTTTTTTAAGAAAAAGAAAAAAGAAAAAGAAAAAAGAAAAAGCAATATTTGTTTGGAAATCCTGACTGTTGATATAAAATTTATAAATTTCTGTATAATTGAAGACCTTTAAGCAATACGTTACCGATCCAGCATATCTGGCTGTGCTGGAACCCAGAGGCCTACCACAAAGCCCTGGGCTAGATCCAAGAACCGATTTAGGTGCCACTTCTGAACACCACAGTCGTAGGCACCCTCTGTCAGTACAGCACTTCAGACTCACACACAACCTGATCCGTCTGCGTCTGGACCCCAGGGAGAGATGGCTCCTCAGAAACTCTCACCTGCGCAGCAGAATTTCCTGTGACCTGTAGGAAGAGCTCAGTAGTCAGGTTCCTGCATCACCCTTCAGAGCTGCCTCTGTCTCTCCGTCCACTGTAGCAGGAGTCCAGGCACCTCAGTGGGTGCCAAGTCCATTGCAGGGCCCAGGCACCACAGTACCAGACTTCGAACCCACTAGGCTCCTAACTCTGTCATTAGATCTAGCCATAAAGGACTTTTGTGCTGTGATAATTAACTACAAAATACAGCTTCTATAAACAGACCACTGTAGTCTAGGCACAATAGTTGCGTGTATTGAAGCCTAGAACGGCAAACCATCTGTACCTGCTGCTCTGAAATACCATAACACAAAATAAATGACTGGAACAAACTGCAGTCTGTGTGGTTGTTTACTGAGAGCAGCTGTAAGCTGGGCTGCTTGGCTACGTGTGATATCATCAGGTTGAAATAGAAGCTGCTTGGTATTTTTATAACTGGGACTCGGGCTCGGATTAATTCAGGGCTACCCTGCCCTCCCCCCCACAAGAAATGACAATGACAGAACGGGGGTGATGGGGCAGGAGGTGTTTGGAAAGCAGAGGCAAAGGATGACAATGATGAGAAGCAGCTCAAACATTTCACTAGTGGCTCATTTTTCCCTCCTGCCCTGGGAGCAGCAGGAAGAAAATCATTACTGTACATCAAACAGTTGTTCAGGCTTCTGTTGCACCCACTGAAAGGAAACCTCTGTCTCTGTGCCCAGTTCTGCTCAGGTGGAACAAACTGGGTGAGCTGTGAGATGAAGACATGCAGGTCCCCGAGGAGTCAGCAGAACTCACACAGAAATTAAAGCAAAACCGTTTAATAAAATATCACTTCAACAAGCATTTACATGTAATATATAAAAAGACTTTAAAAAGCCTAGTGTGTTTTAAACCCTCCTGTGCTGGCACAGATGCCAGAAGTGGCTGACACAGAACAAAAGGGACGTGTGGGTTGGAGGGGTGGGGGGGAAGGACCTCACCTTGGCACCTACAGTAACAGAACTGCATCCCCAGGGGCTGATGGGGCACCAGAACTCGCAGTGTGGGCTCACAGCATCCACCACCACCAGCCACGAGTCTCACAGTGGCACAGCAGAAAAGATCTGCCAGCTCCCAGCTGCTCCCTGCCCACCTTCACACCCACCAGGATTTGCCTCCACTGCCCTCTTCCCCTTGCAGCAGTTGCTGAGATGCTCTGGCTCCCTCTCTGGGCCATTCCTCTCCGCAGCAGCAGCTGAGGAACCCATGGAGCAGAACGCAACACCTCCCACCCTGGGCAGTGCCTGACCAGAGGCTGGAGGGCAGCCCTAAGGCCTGTTAATGATTTACCTTCATTCTGTCCCTGGAGAAAGGTTTGTAAAGAACAGCGCAGCCAGTTGGGTTGCTCAACACACCAGGCAGAGGGGAAGCAGCACTTCCCCTGCAGGAGCAAGAGATATCCTGCAACACAGATGTGTTAATTCACACAGTTCAGCTATGCAGGTTTCCTACAAACACCTGCTTTTTGGTTTTTTTTTGTCACTCCACTCTCAAGCATGAATTTATTGAGGACCTATTTGCTGCATCGCTTCACTCCTGCAGCTCCTGATGGCTTTCCTAAAAGTCATCATTAAAAGGATGTGAGCCCAGCTGCTCCTCCCTTCACCCCAGAAGCAGAGATACCAATTTCTGCTTCTTGACTGCCTGCAGTGTGAGAAAAACACCAACCAGATCAAAGCATTGCCACAATCACACTTCAATCAGAGGCGAAATGAAGCTAATGGCTGTCAGTGCTCATCCCAAAACCTCTGGAAGCTGAACCCACACTCCCAGCTCTTTCAGCAGCTCTCTGGGGACGAGCCCCCCTTCTACCCACACCAGAACCAGCCACGTATGTTCAGAATGGCATCACACAGCACAAGAGATGGGCTGGGGCACCTCCTGGTCACTCACACACATCACTGCTCTCCAGCTTGTTCCCTGTGAAGGCTGTGCTGACCCACATCAAAAACGTTCTGGGGAAGAACACCTATTTGTGCCTGCTGAAGGACATCACCCCAAGGTCATTCAAGTCCCCACACTGCCAAGTGCTAAATGCCAATCCAGCACAGCCACTGCAGAACACCTCTAAGATACATAGATTTCATTTTTCTTGTGGGTTAGAGTTCTGCTCTGCACACAACTGTCCCAAGAACAGCTGAGCCCTGTGCCAGGCTACTGCTGGCAGAAATATACAAGGGGATTAAGCAAGCAGCTTTTTTGGGAGGGGGGGAACAGTAAATTCAAAGAAAGAAGGAATACAACCAGGGCAAAGAGCATGGAAACGGCCTACTAATACAGGGGAGCCATACCCTGGTTTTCCCCCCAGTTTTTATTGTTCAGGCACAAGCACCCTGCTTCTTGTAGGCAGAAAGGTCAGAGATGGTGCTCAAAGCAGTTCTAACCAGATTCCTCTTCCTCCCCCTTCCACTCCAATGGAGCTGGCAAAAAGGAACCCGGATCAGTGCGACGTACCCTAAACAGGGATGCAGTTCCTACCTGCAATCCCACCCCAAGCAGTTACAGCTTTAAGAGCATCAACTTTGAAGCAGCCTGAGGTCACAGCAGACCTCAAAACCCTGCTCTGAGCCCCAAGGTGGCTTACAGTAAGTGGCACAGCAGAAATATGCACTGCTCGTGCCAGCCAGCCTGCCACAGGCAGGGGAGCAGCCTGGGACCAGCCCACCACAGGAACAGAGCACCTCAGCACACCTCAGAAGCTGGCAGCCAGCAGCTGAGCAAGGTGCTGTATGGAACAGGAAGCTGGGAGACTTTCAGAACACAGCAGGGCCCCGAGCGCCACAACACCGCGCTCAGTTTCCATCAGCAGCACCAGAGCTGCACTTCCAGTAAGGGCTATAAATAACAGCAGAGGGAAAGCCAAACAGCCACCTACGTGCAGTGCAGAGGCAGGGAAAGGGAGAGAACCCCCAGCACACAAAGTGTGGATGTGCTCCTTACCCACCTGCCCTGGGCACAGCCCACGCCGTCCCTCAGCACCTCTGCGGCCACACCAGGACAGCCAAGCACACCTGCACTTCACACACCAGTTCTGCACAGATGGAAGCTCAGGCTTTCCAGAGACCAGGGCAGAGAAAGTGCAAGATAAATAGCAGTGAAGAGCTGACAGCTGGTGTACAAATATACTGGCAGACAAACATACAGGTCCCAGGCACTGGGGAAGAAGCATGTTATAGAGATTTCTCTGCCATTAAGTGTTTATGAGGCTGCAACTCATCCAGCAACTCGAGGCTAGGCATATTCAGTGAGGAAAGGAATCACTATGATACACTGAAGTCAAAAGCTTTCAGGCCAATACAGCACCCAGACAGTCCAGACAGGTAGAAGTTGGAAATCCAAAGCAGAGTTGTAAGAAATAAGGGCTGGGACCTGCGAGTGTAGGGGCTGCAGAGGCCAAACCTGCTGGAAACTACCATGGACTTCTACATGAGAGGAAGAAGAGGACAGGGGAGGCTGGGCACGATGAGTCAACTGTAGTTCCTAGGAAGCCATTCCAAGCAGAAACCCTCCAGCAAACCCTCCAGTCAGGATAACATTCTTCTTCAGAAATATGATCACCTAAGCATGGGAGAGAAGAGCCAAGAGTGTTACCCCAACAGCAGCAGTCTCTCACCCACCCTCCCCACAGTAAGGCACCTCAGGCTGCTCTCTGTGGTGGATATTGCTTGGAGCAATGCTCAGCCCCAGTAAAGCCCCCCCCCCCCCCAAGCTCCCCACTGTACACACAGCTCCTGAGCTGTGACACAGCCCCAGCACAGCCCAGACCCTCCAACAGCTGTCACACAGCTGGAGCCCACTTGCACCCCATATCAGACACGTGAGGCTCTGCCACAAGCAGCACACTGTGACAATGGCAGAAGGGGCTGCTGACAGCACGCATGTGCTGCACCTCGGTGCTGCAGAGCCCAGTGCAACCAGGCCACTCTGCTCCTAGACCTGCTTAGTTTTCCCTCCCCACCCCTGCAACTCCAGCACAGGAGCTTCTTGAGCCTCCCTCCCCACCCCTGCAATCCCAGCACATTTTCTTTTAACCCCAAGGAATTTCCACAACACACGGTGAGCTGGCATCACACCGACATGCCTCAAATACTGTTTGCCATCTCACCGGTTTTGTTTTTACACAAGCACTCCCCCTTTGCACATGCATAACAGAAGAACCCAGGAGTCCATCCCATTTCTCGCTGTCCCTCCAGCAGGATACCTGCACCCACCTTGAAAGAGTTGTCTCACCTCATCCACTTTGCTTTTCACTTCTGGAGACATCTTGTTACTGCTGCTGTGAAATTTCAGCTGCTGCTTGGCTTTGTTCACGTCGCGTTCCACGAGCTTCCAGTCAACTTTGATGTATCCTGTATGGTTTGCAATCTAGAATTTCAAGGGGTGGAATGAAAGACTGAAAGTTCTGTCAGAACAGAACCCTCCTGGCTCACCCACCCACCCCTTCTCACACCCTGGGCCAGGAGGTCAAGAGAGGATGAGCACACGAGCTTAAACAGCAGCCCAAGCATCACTCGTGTGGCTGTATTAACTGTCCTGCAGCATCTGCCTCCCTCAGTAATCCTCTAGAAGAAGGGCACGCTGCAGCTTACCCCGTTTCAGCCCCTCCTCTACCACAAAGCTGGCATCCCCTCCCCCTCACAACTGCCACGTCCGCTGCTGGGACGCTCTGCAGCTCTCCTGCTGCTGTGGGTGGACTCTGCTATTAATAGCCAGTTCCTCCCTAAGTATTTTATCTGGTCAGGATGATTCAAGGGTGAAGCTCTCCAGGCTCAGAGCAAGCTTTGGGCTTTCAGCAAAACAAGCAGAACAGGAGAAGTGAGATAGAGCACCTCAAGAGCAAACAACCAAAGGTTGCTGAGTGAGCTTCCTGTGGGAGGTCCAAGCTGCATTTCAGGATATCCAACAGGTTCCCCTCAGTTCCAGAGTTCTTAGAAACCAGAAGGACCAGAGAGTTTCCTCCTCCTCCTCGGCACATTACAAAGATCCTCATCTGTTTTAGCCTGACTCCTCAGGTAGCACATCAGAGATGCAAGTAAATGTTCTAATTAACTTCATAAGCAGCATCTCAGCACAGCTCCAGTTCTAACAGGCTGTGGTTCCATGGGGCTGCCAAGGAACGTGTGCCCACAGCATCCAGAGCTGTGCAGAGCAGGGAATGCCCCACACGCCCCAACAAGCAGCCATCAGACACAACCCATCCTCAGCACCACCACTTTCCAGGAGGCCTGGCCCACCCTTCACACCCACCTGAAGGAGGAAAAAGCCGCCTCCCACCGCTGTTGCTGCCAGCTTTCCAACCTTCTGGAAG